TTGCAATTTGGTATCTAATGTGATACCTAAAAATACAGTTTCGTCAACAAAATTGATAGGTTTATTGTCCAATACGATTTTTTAATCTACTGGCCTTACATTGGGGAGAGTAAATTTGATACATTTAGTTTTATTTGCATTTAGTAGCATATTATTAGCAGTAAACCATTTCAAAACATAAGAGAGAGCACCATTTACTTCGTCCATATCATCAATATGTCGATTGACTTTTAATACTAATGAAGTATCATCAGCAAACAGAACTATGTCAGCTATCTTTTCTACCATATAAGGAAGATCGTTTATGTAAACTAAAAATAAGAAGGGACCTAGAATAGAGCCCTGAGGAACACCCATTTTAATACTAGTTCCCTCAGACTTTACACCATTTATTTCAACAACTTGCATTCTATTATTTAGATAGGATTTCATCATGCTTAGTGCTTCATATCTAATACCGTAATGTTCTAGTTTGAGCAAGAATGTTTCATGATCAACGCAATCAAATGCTTTTGAAAGGTCACAGAATACACCGATAGCATCCTGAGACTTCTCCCAACAGTCAAAAATGTGTTTCATTAAAGCTACACCAGCGTCAGTAGTTGATTTACCGGCTGTGAAACCAAATTGCTGACTGTGAAGCAGTCTATTTATTTTAAAGTGTTGAAGCATTTGATTGAGCATAATTTTTCAAACACTTTACTTAGTACTGGTAAAATAGAAATGGGCCTATAATTACCTACTTCAGTTTTATCCCCTGACTTATAAAGTGGAGTTACATATTTTACTATGTTTCATTAAATTGGGAAAAACACCGTCAAAAATACATTTATTGAAGATAGTTACTAAATATGGAGCAATAACATCTATAGCGGTGTTAATAACTTTAACAGACATACCCCAATGGTCTTCAGTATTTTTTAAATTTAATTGTTTAAATGTTTTCGTAATTGTAGCAATGTCAATAGATGTAAATTTAAATGTAGCCGGACACGAAGCAACATTGTCAATAAGGAATAATTTAGCTGTACTTGGAGAAGAATCCAAAGGAGACGTAATATCAGTTGGAATATTAGCGAAAAATTTATCAAAAATATTGACTATTTCTTTTGTGGACGTTACTAGTTTATCATTATAACTTAACGTAAAATCAGTATTTGGACTTTTAACTTTGCCAGTTTCTTTGTTAATAATATTCCACACTGTCCTTATCTTATCCTTGGATTCTTTAATTTTTTTATTTAGATAGTTAGACTTTGCTACATTACATACCTTTTTAAAAGTTTTTGAGTATCTTTTTACATAATTTACGAATGTACTATCGAAACGGTATTTTTTTTGATCATATAAATCAAATAAAAAATTTCTACTTTTAAGAATTCCCTTTTTTTAATTTTAACACATTCTGAAAATTTTGTTTTGTTACTAATACTGATAGTTTTTTTGCTAAAAGCCTTATTATATTCGTATGAAACAATATTGAAGAAATCTGTATAAAGTTTGTTAGGTTCATCGGATTGAGGATAAAAATCTAATTTACTACGAACTGACATTTTAAATTTATTTATCTTATAACTAGTCAAGTCTCTTTTTAATAGATTAATTTTCCCAATTTTGTTTACATGATTTGGAAAAATTACTATTTGACCACAGTAATCAGAAGGAAGGTTGTTTATTATTATTTTATCTAGATACTCACTATTGCTAAATATGTTATCCAAACAAGTAGCAGACGTGGCTGTGATACGAGTGGGTTCGTGGAAGACACTACTCAAGTCAAAAGATTGAAATAAACTCATTAATTTAGTTTTTGTGGTGTTATGCGATAAAGATTTATATATATAATACATGTACACTCGTACTATGTCCCCTCCGATCGATCCCCAGGGGTAGGCGCGGTCATCTCTCACGTGACGCCGGCGGGCGAGCGACCTGTCGCGTACGCCTCGCGGTCGCTCACCGCAGCAGGACGCGCTTATGCACAGATAGAGAGATTATTTATGGAATAAGAAAATTTCATCAATATCTTTATGGCAGAAAATTTATATTAAGAACGGATCATAAGCCGCTTACTTATATTTTTGGTAATAAACTCGGTATACCAATAATGGCGGCAACTCGTATTCAGCGATGGGCTATTATTTTGTCTGGGTATAATTATAGAATAGAATATGTTGCCTCAAATAAGAATTGTGCGGATGCGTTCGAGCCATATTAATGAGGTAGCTTATGTTAATTTCTTAGAGAATTTTATGCCTGTTACCAATAAAAAACGACGTTAAAGTGGCATCATATAAAGCTCAGTAGAGTCCTGGGATATATACAATCTGGTTGGCCAGTGACGTGCACTGAAAAAATTATGAAGCCATATTATTTAAGGCGTAACGAATTGTATTTAGACCGTGGCTGCTTTATGTGGGGATATAGGTTACTAATATCGAATAAACTGCGAGAATGTATTTTAAAACAGTTGCATATTAGTCACATAGGGATAGTAAAAACGAAGTCGTATATATTAGCACGTAGTTATGTGTGGTGGCCCAACATCGATAAGGATGTGGAGGTGCTGTGTAGTGCGTGTGAGGTCTGTGCAGCAGAAGCACAAGCGCCTCCACGAGCACCCCCACATCCGTGGCCCTACTTGACACATCCGTGGAGCAGATTGCACATTGATTTTCTGGGACCTTACCACGGCAAAACTTTTTTTGTATTAATAGATTCATCTACTAAGTGGTTAGAAATTTTTGATTTGCCGCGCACGAATGCAGTATCGGTTATTAAAGTGTTACGATCCACCTTCGCGCGTTTCGGGCTACCTGTAGAACTGGTATCGGACCAGGGACCGCCTTTCACGAGTGCGGAATTTAGGGATTTCTTGTGTAGGAATGGTATCCGCCAAACTTTTTCGCCAGCTTACCACCCCGCTTCAACTTACGCAATATAAATAAGCTAATTTTACCTAAATGCCGTCTGCACAAAATTAGTAACTCATTCTATGGTAATTGCGTAAGATTTTATAATAAACTGCCAGAATCTGCATTAAATCTGACAGAGAGGCAATTCAAATCTTATATTAAACAATTTTTATGTAAAAAGGCCTATGACAGGATAGACGAATTCATAGATGACAACATATCAAGTAAATAATTAGTTTATTAGCATACAACGTTATAATTTAATTTTCTCATTGATTTCTTGATTTAATTGATTGTTTTTAGAAATATGAAAGCGTAGCGGTTTTTGTATTGGTTGCCGCATGCATTCTTATGTAAAATGTGAATACTATAACTATCAGATGGCAATTGTAAGTAGCTTTGACGTAGTCTAGTGTTTTGAGTAGTCATGCTCACTAAAATGTCCAGACTTGTGGCGGCGTGGTGGGCTGGGTCATTGGGCTCCCTAAAATATGGTCGAGCGCAGTGATGGCTGGCTCATCCGTCATACTCGTGAACGGGTGCTGCTTATACAAGCAGACCAGTCCCTACGGACTGGTCTGCTCTAATCACTATGACTGATTTCCTCTTATTCATTGTTTAACCAGTTGGTTATATATTCAATATTTTTTCTATTTGAGTATTTAATAGAATTAGTGCTAATTGGTGGTTTGTATTCACACATTTAAACTTAAAAATGTAAAGTAATAATAAAATTATTTAAAAGAGCAACACGCAAGTTTATTGCTCGTTCTTCTTGTGATGAGACAGCTTTCCGAACGAGCGGTAGATTAAAAAATGTACTGACTATTCAAAAGTGCTTCAATGTAAGTTTATTTGAATAAATGATTTTCTATTCTATTCTATTCTTCAAATGGGGCAGCGGAAAATGCTGTTAAGCTGTGCAAACGAGCTATCAAAAATGCCGGTAGGGAGTCTGTAGATTTAGATACTGCCTTACAAATGTTTCTGTTAGTCTACCGAAACAGTGTTCATCCGCTACGAACAAGGCTTGACTGTTTGCGTAGTGATTCAGCACTTAATAACAGTGTACATAACGCTCAAAGTAAACAAGTACAGGCATCGGGGGGTATACTGCGTACTCTCATACCAGGGGATTTAGTTTGGGCAAGGGAATATGGGAAACGAGATAAGTGGATAAAGGGAACTATAACCAAAACAGACGGCACTTGTAGGTATACATTGAGTAGCGGTGACGGTCGATTGCTAAATAGACACATAGATCAAATCAACAACGATGTGGGAAAAGGCGCGATTGATTTACCGGAGAGTTTTAATGGGGAAATCTTAGATAAATATGGGGACCTAGAAGTGGAACGAAGGGGTGAAAGACAAGATAGTTATACACATAGTAATAACAGTTCTACTTCTTCACCTCCGGAAGACTCATGCCGTAGTATGGTCCACAGTCCAACCGTACCGCGGTCACCGCTGAGCCCACCCACGTGCAGTCGTAAGCCACCCAACTGGTACGGCTTTGAAAATGATTAGAATAATGTAATTAGTCTATAACTTGTATTATATTAGTATTTAATTAGGTATTACATACAGTAATACCGTTAATGTTGTTCTTTTTTTATATATATGTTTTGATTAAGTGTGGAGTCATGATATATTAGGAAATATGTAGGTAGATATAGTCGTATTTTTAATTAAACGAAGTAAACTGACGTTTACTGTGTTGTCAGTTTTTGATGAAATAAAAACAGTGTTGTGACAAAGTGAATCATTGAAAAAACTCTTTAATAAATGAAATTGTCTCCATTGTCTAGTGAATAGTTAGTGTGCCAAACTACCGATATCGGGTACGGGATACGAATTTTAGTCGTGCTTGGTACATATCAACGAGTTTTCGACGACTAAGTTCCTATAGTATCTACCTATACTGAATACCGAGTGTTTTAGACAATAAGGAAAACATTGCGAGGAAACTTGTAAGACTGTCCTATTCTCAATGCATCATGTAGTTGAAACTATTGATGTATAAAATATAACATTTATAGGTAGGTAATGAAAATAAAAAATCGCTTATAACATAAATTGTTTTTATTCATCATCAGATAAAAAATCATCACTATCGCTTTCGGTGACATTAATTATAAATCTGTCTGAAACATTGTCGATCATGTGGTCGAGACCATACATTTTGTCTTCTTCTTTAATTATATGAGATACGCAGCTACTCCATTTTTCAGGTGTGATGTGCTGAAGGCCTTCTTCAAAAAGTTTTTTTACTTCTGTCATTTTGAAGGTTTTGTTATTTCTTGCAACATATCCTTTAGCCTGCGCCCATACCAACTCAATGGGATTCAGCTCACAGTGGTATGGGGGCAGACGTAAAACAATTATCCCATGCTGCGCTGCCATCTCGTCCACAACATACTTATCGCAATGTTCTTGTTTGTGCTGCCGTACAATTTCTATAAGAGTAGCTTTAACCATTGTTGCTTCAAATGAAATATATTTGCTCGTTAGCCACTCTTGTATTTTAGGTTTAATCCAAGACATTGTAGGCAGCGATTCTAGTTTCCTGGAGTGGTATGGGGCATTATCCATCACTACCACGGAATTTGGTTTTAGTTTTGGCAAGATCCCCCTAAACCACTTCTCAAAGGAATCGGCATTCATCTCTTGATGATAATCTTCTTTATTTTTTTTTGCTTCAAATATTAATAAGCTGTCTTCTACGAATCCTTCTTCCCCGCCTATATGGCCGATAATTAATCGTTTGCCCTTTCCTGAAGGCTGTTTTAAGCCAGTGGTCAAGCCATCTAGGAAGGCCTGGCGGGACGATAACACTGTCTGGTCAATCCATGCCTTCTTCGGTGCATGACCTTCAATATAGTGAAAAATATTAATTAATTATTGAAAGTACAATTAAATGTAAAGAAAGCTGAAAATTGTAATTACCTTCGTTGATCCAGGTTTCATCTTGGTAATAAATATACCTTCCTTCCCTTCGATACTCTTTAATTTTTTGAAGATATCGCTGGCGCCATAAAATAATGTCCTGTCTGTCAATTAAAATGCTTTGTCTTGATTTTGTGACATATTTGAAATTTAAATGTTTCATAACATTTCTTAATGTACTCCAAGAAAAATTGGGTAAGTCTGGGTCATTATTGACTGCCTTAAGAATCTGTAAAGTAATGTAAAAAGTTTTTAAGTAAGGAAGTCTACGCAATCTTATACTTGGTTTTACAAAGAACATTATGATAGACACAGAATATAATACAGTAGAATGAATAAAGGTTAAGTTACCTTTACAATGGTGGGTGGCTCATTTGCATAAAAAAATTGATGTACTTTTTGCCTTATAGCGGCAAAAGTAAAATCGTCTAGTTTATCTTTGAAACTGTGTTTCGGTCCTCGTTTTTCGGGAGACTTAAATTGTTCATTTTCTTTGTATTCTTTTAATACACTATAAACTGAGGTTACACCAATTCCCAAAATGTCAGCTGTTTTCGAAACACATTCTTTTTTTTCGGGAGTCTCAATAGGTAGTAGTGAAGCTGCTTTCTCCTCAAATACGTGTTTGTAGACGTTTTGTATCATAACTTTTTCGGTTACGTTTAAAGCTATCCGTGGTCTCTTCTTTCTTGGAGACTGGCTTGACGTGCTTGGTTGAGGATCCATATCGTTTATACGAAATAATATAGCAACAAATAAACACAACGTAACTAAAAAACTTAACAAAAATAATAACTAAACAGCGTGAGCGCAGAAACAACATTCGTGCTATCAGACCAGAGGTTGGAAGCCGAATACAAACAAAATGGCGACCGACGCGCGCGGCATTGATCGGTGTTGGCATTTGTCGCCGCGCCGCGAGCCGAGCCTTGTAATAAGCCGTCAAAAAGCTGATTGTTGTTACATACTACTAATAACTTATATCAGTGCGCTTTTATACAATTTTATTGTAAAATAGAAATAATATTCTTTTATAGTTTGAAATGATTAACTATTCACATTCATTCATCTGATTGAACGAGAACTGAACGCATCACTATTACTTTAAATATGGCAACATTATTTTACAAAGTGACATTAGCTACTGTCAGCTAGCTTCGTCTAATTAAAAATACGACTGTAAATTATTAAATTAAGTGTAGGGTAAACTGTTTCATGTGTCTTTAGATGTGTCATATTCTTTTGTCTGCCATTAAACGCCGTTAAGCTAACACATATTTTATTCCTCTCCGCTTATAGAATATTCCAGTATTTCTCAGTTATAAAAGTCCGCAGTGCCGTTTATATACCTATATACGTGGGCGACGCACCGGACGTCACGTACTTTGTGATAATAAAGATAATAAGATTATATTAATGAATTTGTAGCCAACACACTTTGTACACGTGCCGCCGCCCACTTCCTAGAATCCTTATCGCACGGCACGTGTAACATTAATAACGCAGCTGCGCGACCTTCCAGCCGTCGTCGTTACCTGCAGCAACGCTTAAAAGCGACACGTGTAAAGTTGTATATCAGGCCCGAAAATTTTTATAATAAACACGCTTATATTCTGTCTCTCGGCTGTATCATTACAGGCTCCCAGGTGCTTAAGAGGACTATTACAAAATGATGTCGCTCAACTTTACGTTTAAGCGCGTGGGCGTAAATACAATGGGTGTGTAATACACGCACACAGACGCAAAAAAACGTGTAGCGCAATCGGTATGGATTCAGTATGAACCATTTTGATCCTAGTACTATTTTAATTAATAATGTGATAAGTTTTTACTTAAGTGAGTAAGATAAACTACTTACTGGATTTTTTTTAATACCATGGGTTATCTTAATTATTAAAGTGCTAATAATGACCATATTTTTTTATTATATTATTCCTAGAGGGTTGATGTCAGGATGCTGGCCGATTGTACAACTAAAAGCCAAAACCTTAAGTAATATGAATAACAAATAATCGGGATAAGGACAGGAAGATGAAGTTATTATAACATAAATTTACTTATTAATAATTTTTTGTATATTAATTAAATTTATTTACTAATAAAAACAAGATAATTTATTATAAGTTTCGGATACATTATTGCCATTTCATTCACTTGTTCTAAATATTAAACTTAGGCAAATAATTATTTTATTTATATATAATAGTTTTGTTTTCATGACTTGTTTCGATTTAAAGGTCCCATCCTTATATGCATAATAACTGTGCCCACGACTTCGTCCGCGTGGTATAGTGACATTGACCAAATAAAGAAAATATATTTAGTTTAGAACCCAAAACAGTTTCATTGTTTCACTTAAACAATGACGATACTTTTATACAACCTTTCATCTCCGCTTTTAATCCCTTACGGGTTGTAAAAGTTTGTTCGCACTATATAAAGTAGTCTATGTCCTTTCTCAGGGTATAGACTATCTGTGTATATATATATGGCAGTGAATTTACAGGGTATAGAGGAATAACACTTGAGTTTTCAGGGGGGGGGGGGGTTATGGAGGAAACAATATACTGATATATCCATGGTATAGGCTGCTCATGTCTATAGGCGACGGTTACACCTTTCCATCAGGAGAGCCGTCAGCTTGTTTGCCATTATAAGTTGTATAAAAAGAGCTTCAACGGCTATCATTGCTGTATTATATTGGTGGTACACAAATAATGTACTACTGTTTTTCAGCGTACAAATATCAATTAGTTAATACCAGTATTAACATTATCCTGAGTGGTAGAATAAAAAAAAGACTATTTGAAAAGTGTAAAGAATATTTTATACCACGTATATCATTGCTGCTCCGCTTCTATATACACCTATATGTATACATCACTATAAGAACACTGCTTCGACTTCATAGCGCAGGCAGGTGCACCATTCCAATATCATCCAAATAAAACAAACGGTGACGCTGTCATTGTAGTAAAGGTCAGACCACTCAGTGTGCCTTTCTGGTGGATCAGGATCGAATGGGCGATGTAACTTTCAACTGACATACGTAACATAGTTTAGTCAAACCACATCAAACTGCGCTGTTTCAAGGTTCTTTGGTCACATCGCTACAAAAACAAACAGTTGAGATAACCTTCAAACGAACAGTTTGATGTGGTTTGACTTTTAAAAGCTATTGTTTTTAGAATTTGGAGATCCCAAAATTAATACGTTTATTGTAATTTGCAATAATCATTACATTTTGAATGTCACCACTCGTTGATAAGGTAAATAATAGATTAATATTTAAAATTTTGTCGTAAATTGTACGTCAGTTCAAAATTACATCGCCTATTCGATCACGACCTATCCGAAACGCTAATTCTGAGCGGCCGGATGTGTCTTGTTCAAGTCAAGTAGTGGGCGTGTCGGCCGCGTGCTGTTTCACCTCGCCGCCCCATTGTGCAATGGCTACTCCTCGGCCAATGGGGGGAAGGTGCGTCATACATAAAAACAGGCCATACAATCTTACAAATCTTTATATCTTATCTTATTAGACGGATAGATGGATGTTTGTTACTCTTTCAAGCAAAAGCTACTTAATTAATTCTATAGTATGTTTTCTCATTATGATATGATGATATCCCGTCTAAGGAGGATCGAAATTCGACATGATCCAAAGGTTCGAACACCTGGTGAGACTAAAACATATCTATCAGGCAAAAGCTAGCTTCATTAGTCCTTCCGCGAGTTTGGAATGCCCAGTTGGCACTCATTAGAATAGATCGAAAAAATACCACCGTTAATCACAGATTTATAATACTGTGAACGAAGGACTGTATATATATGGGGCTGGTAAATATAATTATGCAAACACGGGTTTTAGGAAGCAATAATATAATATTATGTACAAAAGTATAATCATTAGCAGAACAAGAATGACAATGACAATATATATTTTTCTATATAAAATAATAGACAAAATACATAAATAATATACAAAGAGGTGCGTCGTGCACAAATACCATTGACCACTGACAGACGGACATCAAGTAAATTGTATGCGTTTAATGCATTTGAAAATGAAGATATAACTGTTAAAAAGGCCACAATAATTAACAGCAATACCAATGGAACAAATTATATGTTAATATATATTTGGCAAAAATGTTGATGGGAGGATTAGGGGGCCGGGATTTTTTAGTTTTTGTCCCACCTCGAAGAAAATTAAGATCTGGGGCTGGTTAGGAAAATAATAACTCTTACATGTAGTTATTTCTTTATTATTTTAAACAATTAAAAATATACAATATATCAACATTTTAATTTTAAAATAACTACTTACAATAATTGTTGATGACACTTAAAATGTCTAATTTATGTTCTTGATAATCAAATAGTTGACATCATATTGTACAAGCTTTACGATACCTATGTTGACTGTACCAAAGTTAGAGGAATGTTACCTTTCTTTGTTCCTTTAGTGATGTTGGAGCCCGTCGTTGGAGAATCTCACTCGACCCTGAAATGTCGGGGATGGTAGGTGGTTGGCGCCGCACTATTGATGCATGTGGCTGCCGCTAAGCTGCTTGTGGCGGGAGCGGGGGTGACCCACTTTGATGACCATTTGGTTTGTATTGTTGTCGAGATGAAAGCTTGGATTTACGTACAGACGGAATACGGTCAAACTGATTGGATTTAGAAATATCACGAGAATTCAACAAGTCTTCTATATTTGCACTGAACAAGAACTCGCCTCGTTCAATATCTTTTAATATGTCTACATTTTTTTTATTGACCATATGCAAAACTGTGATTCTTCGAATGACGGTTTGCAGATAATGAGCATCTGCTAGTAACTTACTAGTGTCAGTCAAAATTCTTAGAACATCGAATATGTTTGGTTCTTTGTGTAACAAAAGTGACATAGCCTTAGTAATTCCACTTAATATGGCGCCTAATTTATTTTGTCTATCGTAAGCAGGATTATCCTTTACATGTAGGTCCTCCGATAATATGGTACTTATCTCCGCATTTAGAGTCCCCAAAATTTTTGGGGAATGGAAATTTATTTAGTAGCTTTTCCATGTCCATTTTTCCTAAACCACGAAGTAATACTAGATTGAGGCGCACAGCAATATTCTCGTCTATAGGCTCACCCCAATCAATATTATTTTTCTTCAGACTTCCTAGAGCTTCCAGAAGGTCCGTATTTATGTGTACATTATCAGCGTTATTGTCCACTACCTCCGCGGAGCTGGATGTTATCGCCAGATTTGTACCTTCAGCGGACGTAGAAGCTGAAGGCAGGCAATCTGTGACCGGAGCGCAGCTGCCAGCGGGCGCAACATTAACTACGTTTTGCGAAGCTTGGTACACGCAACCTGGATTTCTTCAGTACATGGACAACGCGCTTGCAAACGTTTCAAAAAATAAGTCATTAAAATAGTAAAACACAGTAAAAATAAAAAAATATATATTCAAATTCAAATTCAAAAATATTATATTCATTTTAGATATTTTAGCCGCTTATGAATGTAAAAATTTTTATGTTTTATTTTTTCCCTAACTAACGAACTGGACGGAGTTCAGTGTATAGATCCAATTGAGAAGAACTAGCAAGAAACCCAATTGAATATTTTATATATATTTTTAAGAGCCAGTTTATTTACAATGTATAATTATTATTAGTTTATATAGGTTTCTATGTCTAACATTAAATGAAAAATCCGTTCATGAACAAC